TGGAAACCGGTCCAAAGTAACCAATAACTTCAAGAATAAGTTCCAATTCATAAAGCTGCAGGATTCAGACTACGTACATACATCCACATCCGTCGCTTACGCACTTCTAAACAATTTCTAATGTTCCCAGTCATGAACTTGAATTCATGGGTGGTCTAGGAACGGAGGAGCGACATTTTGGAATCGTCTAGATGTTTGCTGCGGAGATAAAAATCGATAGAAGCGGCCTTACAAACGCACACAACAAAAAGAAAATGTACATATGTGACAGTAATAAAACTTTTGAAATGTGTACCTTTCACAAATACCTGGACTGGGTTGGAGAGCGCTTGCAACAATGGGAGACGCCAATTGAGTCGAAAATGCGCGCCAAAAAATGGCGGACGCGGCGTATTAGCACCGCTCGGCGGCGGTGCGTCTGCAGGTGTCATGACGTAACTTTAATGCTGTTTCATGTGTAGAGGGTCATATCTGCTGCGATGCAGCAGATATGAGCGATTGATTATTATTTTCGTCAAGACGATGTGAAGGTTGCGAAACCACCACTAAAAAATGCAGCGAAAACACCACTAGGGGGACAGACGAGCAGACGTCGCGGCGCGACGTCGTTTCGTCGCAGACGCGGTCGGCCGCGATGATGCCTCCCCTGTTAAAATGATGACAATTCCTAATAGGTCGTAGGATCTCTGGAAGATTAATTTGTGCTAGTCCGGATAGTGGCTATGTGGCCAGTGGGAAATTTGGAAGAAAACTGAGAAGCTGGGCGGCGAGGGTGGCAATGTTATCGTCGTTTTGCCCGTTGTGCGTAACATGATGCGATGGGAAGATTGCCTTGGGAAGACACAGAACGTATTATAAGGCCCCGTGGAACTCTGGGAACGCCTGGGCTACATGTTGTAATTGACAGCAAAGAAATCAAGGCACTTTCAACTACCACCCACCCAATCTCCCGGAAACAGGCCAGTTTTTTTACCGATTTTTTCTTCGGGGGCAGATTTGGCTGGAAACTTGCTCCCAAGGGGTAGACTGACCTCCTAAACACGAATATCACATCCGCTCGACCTGAAACAGCCTGGGGCCGCACCACAGGCACCGGCGCAAAGATAGCCCACATCACCAAATCCGCTGGAAACTTGCGTGGAAGGGTTACTTGACATCCTGGTTACGAATATGACATCCATTCTTGGCATTGGCGCTAATGGAGTACACTCGTCTACGTTCTGCTTAGGCCGAGCTGTTTTGAAGAAAATCACTCCTTCTCCCAGGCTGCCTTAGCAGAGCATTAGATGTCGTTGGTGTCGAAAAATGAATGCTATTCGTATCAGGGCATCTAATAACCTTATTATGCAACCTTTGGTCAATTTTGATGAAGAAGGGTGTGGCGCCATGTTAGCGCCTGATGGCGCCAGGGCTCAAAAATGCATGTCATGTTCGTGATCAGGGACCCGAATGATCCCAGTATGCGGGTTACACCTTTGGTGAAAACAGTGAGGGCGGAAAACTGGAGCTTACAAGGGAGGTCGTTCAGGGCGTGCCCCGCTTTTTCGAAATGGTTCTTTGCACTTTGTAGGGCCTTGCCCATGAACCATAAAAGTGGGCTTCATTTTCGCTGAGCGGCCCCTGGAATGCCAAAAAAGGAGCGAAAAAGAAACCTATGGAAACTGATTGTTTTTGAGCCTCTACGAGCTGTAAACCGCTTGAAACTTTGACCAGTTGCTGAATGGAGGGACCCTATAAAGGTACTATCGGAATCGAAGAGAAAAGTAGTCGGGGTATGGGGTCTTACTTGTGGCACGTGATCAAGAGTGAACGGCTTCTTGGAATGGTTTCTTCAACGATCGGAGGAATGTTCAGCAACAACGATCGGATGGCCTAGTGGATAGCGTGGAGGATTCTCAAGCGGACAGTTGGGGTGGGGTTGATGGTTCGACTCCCCTCGGCGTGCGAGTTTTTGCATTTTTTATGTTTTGCTGTTTTCGCGTTCAAATATGTCTGTGCGTGAGTATAGTTCGATAACTGCCATTTATGGGCACATTTTAAATGGGGATACTCCATGAATCGGTGCTATTCAATTGTTTCAAGTTTTACATACCATTAAGCAAGACCGCAAAGAGTGGTCTTTCTATTAGTACCACTTGATTCCTGCTTCTTCTTCTGCAATATGGACAAGAATGTTATCCGCTACCATCGCCACCGACCCCTCCAAATGCTTCTGATAGTGCAGCGCACTTCCAAAAAAGTTCTAGCCGTTCCTCATGCAATAGAGCTGGATGGCTCTCCCCTTGCAGTGGTGTAGCACAGATTGCTCCTTCTAAAGTTGCCTCCCGTAATCAATCATTACTGGACGAGAAATTACGAGAAAACCTCGAAAAGTCTGAGTTCAAGCCAAGATTGAGATGATGTCCAACTTTGTATCGCGCCTCCCTGCATTGTGAAGCGATGGCATCCATGAGGTGCTCAAGGAGCAGTAACATGATCTACAATTTTGATATTTACCCACGCCTCACTATAAAAAAGAAAAGCCGCAATTTGAAAAAAGTGACAGAACTTTCCCTTTCCCGCCAACCCAATATTAATATCCAAGACATAAAACTAACAATATCGATGAAATTATGCAAAGAGGAAGAAGGGAAGTATTCGTCCAGGTCGACTTGAAAAAAAAGTTGAGGAAATTGAATGAGTGCAATTTCTGTTCCGGTAGGGGAGATTGACATCTTTATTGAGCGAGCAGGCGGCAGGAATCGGCAAAGGCCCAGGATGCTTTTCCACGAATGCCGACCACCCACACTGAAGCCAAGCATGAAAGGACCTTGGTGGCACACCTGCGACACGGTTTTCTTGCCCAGTGGCTTGCTACGTCGTCCTCACAGTCACCGTCTTTACGAAGATGTGAGACTCCGGCCACCTGCCGATCCAAGTGGTCCACCACCACAAGAAAAATCGAGAAAAATTTTTTTGGTTGGAATTTCGTCCATAGTCGATGCCTTACGATTCGACACTTATTTTCGGCTTCGACGCAATTTGGCGCCAGTATAGCGCTTAACGCTCTCGTACATAGACGTACTTCACTCCTTTTCGGCGTTCCTGGGGCCGCTCAGCGAAAATGAACCCCACTTCTGTGGTCTATGTTCAAGCCCCTACAAAATGCAAAAAACCATTTTGAAAAAGCGGGGCACGCCCTGAACGACCTTCCTCGTTAGTGGCACCAAATGGGCGAACCGAGCCTGGAAAACGTATGGCATACTCGTGATCAGGACATTTATTTATTTATTTGTGGACGCAGTGTCTCTGCGCTTAATAACTGGACAATCACAATCGACAAGCACATCAATTGAAGTCAGACAAATCCCGTAGAATGCGAGAACTTAGGAGACCTCTGAATTAACTAGCCTGGTGGCCCTTATACGAAAAGGCTCCAGGTGACAATTGGAAAATATCTTCGCCAAAAATTTTGTTCAATAAGTGTAGCACTCTGATCGCAAAGAATTTAGACCTGACTTGGGTTCTCGATACAGGAGCCCTGATCTTGATAGTGCTTCCCTCTAGTCCTAGAGGTAACTAAAGTAAAGAATTCATCCGATTCAAGCTACTGATTCATCCGATTACTCCAGAATTGCCTTGATGTGCAAGATTCACCGAAAATTTTTTTTCGGGGTGTGTGTGGGTGTTGTGGTATGTTGTGTTGTGGTGTGTGTGTGTGTGTGGTGCGTGAGTGTTGTGTGTGTGATTTGTGTGTGTGGTGGTGTGGTGTGTGTGTAGTTAGGAGATAGTCCGTTCAGCACCCTGTAAATCCCGAGGTAACGGTCGTCACAATCTGTGATTTTCCAGTGTTTCGCGAGCGACGGATGGGCACGCCTTACGATGCTCGTTATCCCATTCCGGCAGATCCCAACTCCAGCTCGAATTCCAGTTTCTGGTTGTTGCGTTGACCCATGGCTATCCCTCTCGTTTGGGAATAGTACGTGCCGGGATGTTGCAACCCAAAATCCTTGATCAGTGTCATGAAGAGAGCCTTGCTGAGTCTAAAAGTCTCAATGCTTCTCACATGCATGTCCAACATCTCAGACAGTGCCTGCAGAGCTTGCTCGTTCTGAACATTGGTATAAAGCGAAGTGGCATCGAATGACTCTACTACCCACCCTGTTTCCAAGCGTAAATTGCGTAGTTGTTCAAAGAACTTGGTCGTATTGGTCAGGTGCGAGGGTACCTTGGGCACCAACTGGCTCATAAGAAGTTTAGGAACCATGAAATTCGATCAGTTGGTCCTCCCACGCAACTTATAATTGGTCGTATCTTGAAAGTGCCCGGTGACGTGGACTGCATTTCACTAGGAGCAAGTTTGTGGGTTTTCACGAGACTGTAGAAGACAGGAATTTGTTGAGTCTTTGAGATTACTGAGAAACTTCTCGTTGAGACCCGCAGACTGACTCTGAGCCATCCAAACACTATTCAGGCGTCTGCATCGGGATAGAAATTCGTTTTCCATCGCGGGATAATAAGCCGATGTATCCGCCAGGTGAAGTTCCGTGATTTCACGATCAAGCGACTGTGACATAATCACGGACTCTCCGCATTTATCGCTCACAGAGACCACGTATCCTACCGTAACTGTCTTACTCGCACGTAACTCCTGAGACCTGCATCGTGTTGTCAAACTGCGTGTGCGGATCGTGACGTTCTTAGTTCGAACAGATAGATATTTCTGTGACAAACTCGCAACTTGGCACACCATCTACAGCAAGGTCTTTAGCGGAGTTCGTGAGCTGCGGCAAGACAAAGTCCGCCTATATTTTACTCAATTCATAATCTGGTAAAGTGACCGCCGCTGTTCAAGATGCTTTCGCAATAGGACGCGACGATGTTGTGGTTAGTGAGTATTCCTAACAATAATATCAAGCGTCAACTCGTGCGAAATAGGCTCTATGACAGGCAGTGCATATCAGAGCATTGCGTCATATGTCCGCACGGACTAGGAGGAGATTGCGCTAAAAGTGGCGTATCAGGCTTTTTGTGTATTTTTTTTATTTTTTATTTTTTTTTTTTTTTTTTTATTTTTTTTTTTTTATACCAGCTGAGTCTCAGACAATATGTAACGCAAGTTACATAGGGTGAGCTGGAAGATCGAGAGCGGCAGGTCTTGCAAGGATTACATCAATAGCTCGCAATGTGGCATAAATGGCAAGAGGTCATTTGTAATGGACAGACACTCATTTCGGTTGTTCATCCTAGGATTCCTTGCGGAGATCCAGAATGCCTCTAGCGCTTTTCTAGCCGAAATTTCAGTCTCGAATGCCAGAATTCTGCACTTCACATCAAAATCGTTTCCGCCGTGCTCTTCGATCAAATGCCTGCCAAGCGGTGTACGCGTATTGCCGCGCCTTTTACCAGCGAGGTGCTCTTTGATACGTATCGCCAGTGTTCTTCCAGTCTC